TCGTCGCCACCGCTCCTCTGCACATTTCGATGTAATGGAGACGGGGTACGACTTCATTCTCGGCACTCCGTGGTCTCGTCGGTTCCGCAGCACCGAGGACGATTGGGCGACCAACACTCTCGTTCTTAAATCGAAGTGTGCACAGACGTATCGCGTACCTTTCATAGGTACCACGACGATACCACGCCCCGATCCTCCTCCCCCGGAGCCTTGAATGCCCACACCATCTCCCTCTATCACTGTCACCTCGCCTCAGCAGTTCGCTCACTTCATTCGACAGGACGACGTCACCTCCTTTATGGTGGACGTGACGGATCTCTTACACTATGATCCACCCTGTCCCGACGCCGAGCTCATCCCTCTGGACCCAGATCCCCCATCCATCTCCATGGCTCCCATCTCTACTTCCGTCCCTCCGCCGTCCATCGAGTCCACCCCGCCGTCACGCGCTAACGCTGACGCTGAGGAACTCGCACGATATACGGCTGACTTGGAGCCCGCAGTTCGTGACCTCATCCGAGAGTACCACGACGTTTTCCCCTCGTCGTTCTCGTACGCCGGCATCCCACCGATGCGTGACGTCGAGCACTCCATTCAGCTCGTGCCTGAATATCGTGTTCACCACCAGGCACCCTTCAGACTCTCGATCCCCGAGGCCACCGAACTCAAGCGTCAGCTTGAGGAGCTCCTGAGACTGGGTTTCATTAAACCCAGCAACTCCCCGTGGGGTGCACCCGTCCTCTTTGCTCGCAAAGCGGATGGAACTCTTCCGTCTCTGTATCGACTACCGCGGCCTTAACCGCTACACGGTTAAGAACAGCTACCCCATGCCTCGTTCCGATGAGCTGTTCGACCGCCTAGCAGGCAACCGCTTCTTTACGAAGATTGATCTTCGTAGCGGTTACCATCAGATCCGCGTCGCTGCAACCAACCAGCCGAAGACCGTGTTCCGCTCGCGATTCGGCCACTACGAGTTCACGGTGATGCCATTCGGCCTCACCAACGCACCCGCTACCTTCCAGAGGGCGATGAACGACATCTTCAGGTACATCCTGGAGCAGTACATTCTCGTCTACCTCGACGATATCCTGGTCTATAGTCGTACCCTTGAGGAGCACCTCAGACACCTCCGCGACGTCCTTGACCGCTTGCGCAGACATGGCTACTACGCCAAGCTTAGAAAGTGCCGCTTTGCCCAGCACAAAGTGGATTTCTTAGAACACTACGTGTCTGACCAGGGTCTCCACATGGACGACGCGAAGATCACTGCTATTGCGGAGTGGCCCGCTCCCACATCCGCCAAGCAGCTTCGCAGCTTCCTAGGCCTGACCAGCTACTATAGTAACTTCATCCGAGGATACGCTAGATATTCCTACGTCCTTACCTCCACCCTCCTCCGGAAGAACCCACCCTGGGCTTGGACACCCCTCCACGAGGACCCCTTCCTCGCCCTCAAGAAGGCGGTGACATGCGCACCGGTTCTTCACCTACCCGATTTTGACCGCCCTTTTATCCTTACCACCGACGCGTCAGACTTCGCTGTAGGAGCAGTGCTTTCATAGGTCTTCCCTTCACCTCCTGATTCCTCTCATCCTCGTATCCCTCGCTTCCCACCACCTACCCCTACCACTGCTTCCCAACCTGACGCCTACTCGTCCAGCTACTGACGAGCCTTCTATTGACTATTCTCCTACCATCGCCGAGGACGGCACTGTCGAGTCTCGCTCAGGTGATTGTCTGATAGCCTTCTACTCCCGTCAACTCCTGCCCGCCGAGATAAACTACACTGCTGATGAACGTGAGGTTCTCACAATAGTTTATGCCGCTCGGCATTGGCGTCACTACCTGCACGGGGCACCATTCACGGTGCGCACGGACAACTCTGTTGTCCAGGCTTTTCTGACAAAGCCGAAGCTCACTCCTCGACAGGCTCGCTGGTGGCGCGACCTATCCGAGTTTAGTTTCACCACTGAGCACATCAAGGGTGAGACTAATGTCGCAGATGCCCTATCCCGGCGCCCTGACCACGACCAGGAGCACATCCAGCTCTCTTCCATCTCGGTCACCACTGTCCACCACTCGGTGATCGACGAGTTTCGCACTCAGTACCGCCACTGCCCCGACTACCGCGACATCCACGCGACCCTTCGGAGTGGCAAGGCCGTCCCGAACTACTTTCTCGGGGACAACGGTCTTGTGTACTGGCACGATTCACAGGGCACCAGAGAGCCCTGTATTTGCGTTCCCTCCACTGGACAACTACGTGTCCGAGCAGTAGCAGAGTTCCATAACCAGGCAGCTGCAGGTCGTATGGGCTTCCACAAGACGTTGGCTCGTGTGAGCCGCCTGTATGTCTGGCCGAAGCGCAAGGACTTTGTGAAGGACTACGTCGCAGAGTGTCCCACCTGTCAGGAGGTGAACAGTGCGAACCACCTACCTTATGGYTTGCTCCAGCCTCTTCCTATCCCTGAGGGTCGTTGGCAGTCCATCTCGATGGACTTTATCGGTCCTCTTCGACCTCCGACCCCCCGCGGTCATGATGCTATCCTGGTCGTCGTCGACCGCTTCACGAAGCGTGCACGTTTTGTTCCGTGCCGCTATGCCAGCAATGCACGTGAGGTCGCCGACATCGTATTTGACCGATTCGTGCGTGACCACGGCTTACCTCTGAGCATCATATCTGACCGTGACCCGCGCTTTACCAACCGATTCTGGCGACGGCTCCACGAGGTGTACGGCACTMAGCTCCGCTTCTCCTCGTCTTACCATCCTCAGACTGATGGTCAGACCGAGATCACGAACAGTACTCTCGGGGATATTCTCCGAAAGATTGTTCGTGACGACCAGCAGTGGGATCTCCATCTTGCCCACGCGGAGATAGCCTACAACCACGCCGTCTCGCCAGCCACGGGGATGTCGCCTTACTATTGCGACCTCGGCTATCACCCGCGTGTTCCCGCGGACTTCCTTCGACCGTCCCAGATGCACCCCGACACGAGTTGTCCCGCGCTGGATGATTGGGTTGCACACATGACGTCGATTATGAAGACCGCACATGAGCACATAGCCGCTCCCCAGACTCGCATGGCAGCACGTGCGAACCGATCGAGGATGGATCACCCATTCAAGGTCGGTGATGATGTGCTTATCGACGCCCGCCACTTACAACTCGAAGCGGACACGCTTCGCAAGTTTCGGCGTCGCTTCTTTGGCCCATGCCGCATCCTCCATGCCGTCGGTTCTGATACGGCATCTAGCCCGGTCAGCTTTCGTGTGAAGCTGCCCGACTACCTACGCCA